GGGCCATATGTGGCTTGTAGCTGCCATTTTGGACAGCGCAGATGAGAGGCTGTTTCTGCCGTCAGAGAAGGTTCTGCTGGGCAGGGCTGTTCTGTCCAGCGTAAGGAAGTTAGCAGTGATGGGTAAGCTCACTTCTGATACCTGTTCGTATAACAGTTTAATAACTCCAGGCAGAAGATGAAGCATATGGCTAGTCTTGAGCTATTTCCTCTAAGTGTGGTAGTCATCCCCATTTTGAGTATTTCAAACTTTAAGTTCCCTAAAACAGTTCATTTGCCTCAATATTTGTTATTTCACAGTGAAATCCCATAATAGTAAAAAAGCCAAGTACTTAGTCTAAATTTGAATTCTGACCCCAGGACTTACTAATTCAGTAACTTCTGGTTAAGATACTTAACTTCTTTGAGCCTCAATTTGCTTATCTGTGAAACAGGAGGAATATTAGTTACCTCATAAATTTTAAAAATTTAGAAGACTTAAATATATCTAGAAGCACATAACAAAGCAGACATGTATAGTACTTACAAATACAGAAAGAAGCCAGAACATTTACACCCCTTAGAGGGTGTCATTGATTGGAGCTGTTCCTGGCCTGTCAATGGTAACAGCTTTCCAGAAGCAGCTCGGTCAGGAGTGACTGGTAGGAGTTTCTGGTGGCCACGGGATATTTATGGCATTAGGTAAAGTTGAAAGAACTACAATACCAGAATGAGGAGAAAAAGAAATAGAAAAATGATCAGTTTCGTTTTTGGAGAAGTCCATAAGGCATTTTCTGATAATTATGATGGTAAAAACTAATATTTCATATAGTGTTTTTGTAACAAAGATTTCCATGTAACTCTTTAAAATTTCATTCCCATAATGTTTGAGTACCTTTTTATATACTTATATTAAAGAAGAAGAAAAGGAAACTCAAGGTTGACCAACATTTTGAGGTCATCTAGCTAACCAATATTGAAACTCACACTACATTTTCAATTTTAAATCCTATGTTCTGCCTACTCAGTATGCTGTCCCCTTGACAGTAGTTGTGTTTCGCAGGCAGGTTTATATTTTAGGATCGCTAGGGAGCCCAGGTATATGTAATTTTTTTCCCTACACTGAGACAGAATGCACCGAGTGATTCGGGTGCCCACCTCTGGTTTGAAAATCATTGCTCTCTGCCAGGTTTCATTTTTCTTTTCCTGTTTGAGTACATTGAAATTAAGGCATAGGCCATATGAATAAGACAAAGAATGAGGCTGATAAGTGATACACTGATTTAACTTTTATTGTTTCAGATATTTAGGTAGATCCTCATCAGCACTTTTGAAAAAGCAGCACAGTTTAGTTTCCGGTTCACATTCTTGAGTGTCTCTCCATTTGATCAGTGCTGGTGGCCAGGGGAAGTCCAGACTGGCCAACTATGGAAGTTGAATCTGTTAGTGTTCCCCTTTCTGCTTCCCTAATACCAATTTTGGCTAGTTCGTAGTCTACTCTCATTGTATCCAAGTCCTAAACGTTGGCTGTATCATCTATAGACAACATCTTCATGTATATTTTTAATTGATTGGCTAAAGATTTTTAATAATCCTTCCTCAACTGTCTTGAAGATGCTCCAGTGTCCTGGATTTAGTGGTATTTCCAGGCCATAATTTAACTCTGAATGTATCACATTACTAAGCTCAAAACTGAATGAAAAGACAGTGTCATGATGGGGCAGGAACGGTGAATACTCTAGCAAACCCCCAGGTAGGCAACCATGAATCACACTGTGCAGGGAATTTTAAAGGTGGAAAATATTTTAAAAAATGCAAAGACAGATTCTGTTGGAAGTAAGACTTTCAAATTTGGATGTTAAGCATTTGCTGTTTGGGGCAGTATCTGAGGTTTTGCAGTGAGAGTGACATACCTTTTAACTCAGAGTTGCTTATCGAAATGCAGTTGAGCAGGGATGATATGTTACCATGGATTTGTAAATTTCTGAACAAAGTGCACTTTACTAGAAACTATTTACAGTGAATATTGGGCTACTTCTGTGTTGAAATTAATGTGTTTGGGATGTTCTTGTGTATAGGCGTAACTTTCTTAACACAGAAAATACATTTTTGATTACTTTCCATTACTAAGACTTAGGGAGCTTATGATTAAAATGGCTGACTTTAATATGGCATTCTAGATTAAACTAAAAAGTTTTTGTAAACTTAGTACCTACAAAGCATAACATTATATATATATATTTTTCAAAGTATACTGTTAAAATAGATATTGCTGTTAATTATATGCAAATTGGATTTATGTTTATTGTACTGTAAATAAATTTTCTTATAAACAGGATAAAACCAAGGCCTTTTAAGATATTAAAGTTTTACCAACTCAAAGATTTTTTTAAAAGCTATTGCAATAAATAAATGAGACTTGATAGTTACGGGTCAACTTAAAAGCATTGTAGGACAGTTAATCTTCTGTGAACAATGCGTTCAGAAGCCTGTACGTCGTGGATTTCTACCTATTTTCATTTGGTGTTAAGAATCTGTAATATAGACTTATATGGCAAAAGTGGTAATACTTTTCTTTTTTAAAAGCTGGTCCATCTCATTTTCCTAATTTATGATATTTGAGATTTTGTGGTTCATTTAGACTTAAATCTAGATGCATTTAATGTATTCCAAACATAGAAAATGTGATACCCTTCTATCCATTCTAAGACATGCTTCTTTTTCATACTTTCAAAAATGAGATGTGTCTTAAAATTGATTTGTATCATAATTTAATGGAGGCCTTTTTTTTTCCTTACTTGGTGGTATATAAAACTAATGGATAATCATTGAATGTCTTAGGCTTGATTAAAAAATAATGGCTTTTTTTGAAGTTTATGGTACTATATATATATATATATATATATATATATATATATATATATATTTGCAGTAAAAATATCTCAATGGTGAGAATATATTATTTGGCATTGCAGACTTGTAATGTTTCCTCTTGATCATTTTCCTTTAGTCCTCATTATTATCCTAGTGTCAAATCCAAAACAACTTTATAATAAGTTTGATGTACTTTATTCACCGGAAATGAATCTAGCGATCGGGGGTGTACGTTGCCTACCAAGCACTTCCTGAGGGATTTTGGGCGAGTGCGAGTTTTGTAGAGAGTTGAAAGGCACCACAGGAAGGGCCCTGCTTGGCTGGGAGGTGGGCGCGCAGGTGCCACGTGGCAGGGTCAGGTGAGAGGGCGAGAGCTGGGCGGGAGGCCTGTGGTGGCGGTGGGTCTCCTTGACTGCGAGCTGTTCCCCGCACCTGCAGGCTGCCTTCCTTCGGGTTAGGTTTGTGGCGGGGGCAGGGCCGCTGGGTGGCCTCCGGTTTGTGGGTCCCCATATACCAATTACCTTTATCACTAGTTAGGTGATTTACATTAAACTGGCTCCCTGTCTGTGGAAAACTGTCCAAAAGAAAAAATGGAGATGAAGAATAGGCAAGACTTGGGGTTGGGGCGAGGTTGGGGTCAGGGTAGCGGGTTGGACCTCCAGGGTTCAGAAAAAATGGGAGGGCAGTGTTAATAAGCAGCGTTTTCCATGTACCCAACTTTACTTGTCCTGAAATCTTATTCTGGTCAAGTCTCTGGCTGTGACATGCTAGCTTGCGGACTACTTAGTCGTTAGCCAGAATCACCTCAGCCGTATTCCCTCAATTCCAAAAGCACAATTCCTTCTTGCTGAGGCCTCTCCTCTCCTGTGGAAGCTGCCCCGTTAGCGCCTCCTGCCTCACCGGTCAATCATCTGCCGGCACCTTCTCGCTCGTGGACGAGTGGAGTCTCTGTTTCCTCTTAATGTGCTGTCTCAAAATGCATAACTAACGGGGAATCCTTATACAATGTATGTTTCTGCAAGGAGCTATTACAGTTAGTGCACAATTAAAGTTGTTGGTTTTTATAGTACAAGTACTTAACTTCGGGAAACTTCCTGCCTTACTCTGTCCTTCAGCATTTAGGGGGCGATGGGTGTGGCCTTTCCCATAAGCTCAGTTTTTGTTCCTCAGAACAGTAACTCATTCATTTATGGTGTGACTTCCCAGCGCATGTCCCCGCTTTAGCTTTCCGTCAGCTTCCTGAGAATGCGCACTCCTCAGCTTTCCATACTCTTCAGAGATGGCATGTTTGACTTACTCTTCATTTAAAAAAAGTCAACACAGCATATCCGGCTAATGTACTCTATTTTAGGCAAGGCACTTTAAAAAATTAAAATGCAACATTAATAAAATATAATTAAATTAAAATTTCAATGTAAAGCCTAAATCGAGAGAACATTTTTGTTTTTAAAGGAGTTGTTGCTTTATAAAGAGGTTGACCATTCAGACGCTGTGTAGCGTACTCGGCCAGGGCCCTCTGGAGGCCGTCCGGACTGCTGCCCGGAGCGGGTCGGCGTCGGCAAAGGAATTAAGAGGGTCGTTGCGTCTGATGTCTGGAGTCCTCGTGTTTCTCACGTCCCTTTCGGAATCTACACAAAAGCTTTGATCTGTCTTGGCATTTTCTTGAGTCAAGCAAATTTTTAAAAATGTCTTATATTCAGGGTGATTTCTCTAATTTACCTAATTTGTTATTTTAGAATTTTAAAAATGATAAAAGTATTTTTATGTCTTTTCAGCTACATTGCATTCTAAACTTCTTCAAACTATCGTGAGCATCCATTAATATTGATTAGCAGGAGAAGGAAAATGAGTTCCAAATGACAGATAACTGACTTACTAATAAAGTTTTATAGCAAACCCCTTTGCAAGTTGGCGGATTCTGTTCTTTTCTTGCTTTCACTGTGTACCTCAGTGAAATGCAAATGCAAATGAGAGACACTGTCTATAAGTAAAGGTAAATGGTCACTGATTCGTGAACAGTAGTTCAAGTGCAGGTGCTGAGTTTTATATATTTCTGACAAAATATGCCAGTCACCACCCTGTGAATTAGCACTCGCATAGTGGTTCTTTCCATTTTTGTTGTCCTCAATTCGTTTTCTCTCTCCTCAGAGGACGTCCTGAGTAAAGACGCCGGGGAATGTGCAATCTGCCTGGAAGACTTGCAGCAGGGAGACACCATAGCACGGCTGCCCTGTCTGTGTATCTATCACAAAGGGTGAGTGAGTTCAGCTTCCCGCTCACCAAGGGGATGTCAGAGTAGAGGAGCTCCCTCAAGGGATCAGGCATTGTAGTTAGGGCTGAAAACGTTTCTTCTTCATCGAAAATCCCTCCTCCCGTTTCTTAAAAAATAATGCCCATTTTTTCTTGTTAGAACGAAGATTTAAGCCCATATTGTTTGCAGCCAAGAATCTATCGTTTGTTCAGCATTTACTGTGACCCAGGTATCATCGTTCATAGCTTCTTACGTAGGTTATCTCATGTAAGCCTTTTAACAGTCTCATTTCACAACAGGAAGTGAGCAGAGACCCCGGTAAAGCAGTCTCTCCAAGGTCGCCTCGCTAGCAAACGGGAGGGCTCAGCTTCCCGCCATGTCTGTCTGACTCCAGAGCCCACCTGGTTTCTCATAAAGTGTTCTTGGTCTCAGAGCAGCACAGAAAAAATTTAACCAGAAAAACTTTTCAGTTAATCACAAAAAGAATAGAAAAATAATTTTCAACCCAGTAAAATAAATAAGGTGGAACTTGATTTAAGCAGGGGGAGGGGGAAGAATAGAGAAAACAGTAAAGAGTAAAAACAATAGTAAATAGTAAAAAATAGAGAAAAGTAAATCCAATATCAGTGGTTATAATAAATCTAAATAGAACATACTCACCAGTTGAAATCAGATTGAAAGATTGGGATATGCTGTTGATAAGCAACATACTTAAAGATATAGAAAAATATGAAAAAGGGATAGAAAACTATCCAGACAAGTTTTGACTAAAAGAAGACTAAGTTAAATTAGTATCAGACAATACAAACTTTGTAGCAAAAAGTATTATTAGTATGGTATGATGATAAAATTATATAAAATTCCAATTTTTGTGTACCTAAGAACATTGTCTCAAAGTAAAATATTCATAGAACTCTCAGAAAAAACTACAAATTTGTCATGATAGTGGGAAATTTCAACAATTCTCTTTCAGTCCAGCAGACACACAAAAGGTGTCAAGACCTAGAAAAATTCAGTAAACAAGTTTGATCTAACGGATGAGTGGGTGTGTGTGTCTCCACCCAACAACTAGAGAGTACCTTTTCTTTTCAAGCATATGGTGAAGTCTTACAAAAATGGATTGTGTACCAGGCCATAAAGGAAGTCTGAGCAAACAGTAGAGAATTGTTAATCACATAGAAAGATGTTCCCTGACTACCGTTACCTAGCAATAATAAAAGATAATCTTCACGCATACTTTTAAGTAATGTGGACCAAAGGAGAAAACATAACGGAACTTAGAAAATAATTGGAACTTAATAATAATGAAAACCTTTTTGACATTTTCCAGAGTGATCCTGGGAAGATTTGTGTTAGAGTGGAAAGAAAGACTGTCAATCAGTAAGCCATGTCCTTACTTTAAAATTAGAAAAATCACAGAATAAACAAACAATGAAAACGGAAGGAAAAAAATAAAGACCAGAAAAGAAAATAATGAAATAAAAAAGTTATATACTTGAACAGAGACTAACAATGTCAAAAGTTGATTCTTTGAAAAGACTAATGAAAGAGAAGAACCTTCGGCAGGATCGTCCCCAGAAGGAAAAAATAAACAGTATAGGGCCAAAAAGGGACACGTTGCTTCAGACATGGCAGAAATTAAAATTGATTGGAAATTTCTGTGAAAATTTTTATATTCCTTAAAAATTTAAACAAAATGGGCAATTTCCTTAAAAATATATTATCAGAAATGATTCAGAAAGAAATGTAAAACCCGAATCAGGTAATAACTATTACAAATAGTTAAGAAGACTAACCCTGAAACAGTAAATTTTTTTAAAACCCAGAAACCTGAAAACGGGCCTAGAAAGTTTAACCCCAGGTTCTGCCCGACATCCACAGAGCACCAGGTTAATAGTTAAAAACTGCCCCCAAAGTAGGGAGAGATGGAAGGTTCTCCCACTTACTTTATGAGATTAATATAAGCATGCCAAAATCAGACAAGGTAAGGATAGGAAATGAGGAGACAGTTTCACATATGAACACAAATGCAAAAATCCAAAAACCAAATTCATCCATATATTTCTAACATAATGCCTCATAATCAAGTTAGATTTATGGTAGGAATGCAAAGACACTATAAGATTAGAAAATTTATACGTGATTCACATTAACAGAGGAGAAGGACCATATTAACTCAATAAATGTGAGAAAAATTTCAGTAAAATTCTATGCTTACAGTATTAATGATTTCAAAACAAATGCAAAGAATAAATATTAGAGAAATTATTAAAATGAGTAAGAATTTAGGTGGATTGCCAGAAATGAGCTCAACCTAAGAAAATCAGCTACATTCATATCCCAATAAGAAAAAAGAAAAATGTAACATTTTTTAAAGAATAAAAACATTAACCCTGGCTGGTGTGGCTCAGTAGATTGAGCGCCAGCCTGCAAACCAAAGGGTTGCCGGTTCAATTCCCAGTCAGGGCACATGCCTGGGTTGTGGGCCAGCTCCTCACTAGGGGGCACATGAAAGACAACCACACATTGATGTTTCTCTCCCTTTCTCCTTCCCTTCACCTCTTTCTAAAAAATAAATAAAAATATATTTTTTTAAAGAATGGAAACATTAACAGCAACAGAAACTGTAACAGCAGTAAGGTATATTAAGAATAAATCCTCCAAAAGATATTCAAGATTTTAAAACTTTATCAAAAGATATTGTAGAAGATCTAAAATAAGTGTGGAAGTACACCATATTGTGGATGGGAAGACTTGGCATCGTAAAGATATCAGTTCATCCCAAATTAATCTCTATAGTTAATACCATCCCAGCGCGACAGCTGTGCAAGCTGACAGCCACCATGGGCTTGGACAAGTTATGGAAACTGAATATACAGCCTTAAAATAAAATGTGGACCTAAATAGCCAGAAGCACTCCCTTCGTAAGATTTGTAACAAAAATTAACATGAATGGGGTTAATAGTTCTGACAGAGTGGTGGAGAGACTATCAGCGCTAGCAAAACAGCAGAATTCATACAGCATCAAAGTTGGCCTGCAAAGGCTTTGCTGCCTAATGATGTCTAAAGAAAATATCAAACTCCCTCAGCCACCTGCAGGACAGTGTTACAGCAATTAATCAGAAAGAAAAACTACAGGCCCTTTCCCTCCCCCACTTCAATTTAAGCAGGCTTCCTTTTCCACAGTAGTAACTTTTCTAAATATATCTTAAAGACCTCAGAGTACTGGAAAGAAAGCTGTCATTCAAAGGCAAGTGATCTTAAGATACTGTAAATCATGCTAATGTTTTGTCCATTTGAAATATATAAGTTGTACTACAAATAAAAGAAACTATCCCAATCAAATCTAGTTTTATCATGTCGCTTGACCAGTTGATTCTGAAGTGCATGTATGATCAAAGAGTAAAGGACCAAGAGCAGTCCATGAAGAAGAAAACCACGCCAGGGGGCCTTGGTGTCTGCAAACTCATTACAAGTCAATTAAAATAGAGTGAAAGGACATTGGTGGGCCAGTGGGACAGAGTCAAACCCACGAACACTCAGGCACCTGTGAGGCAGCGCAGCATGGGAGTCGGGACCCCCATGATTGAAATCCCAGGACTCCGCGAATTCACTGTGGTCTTGGTCAAGTTACTTAGTTTTTCTCTCCCTTAGTCTGTAAAATGGGGCAATAATACCAACTTTAGAGAGTTACTAAGAGGTCTTAAATGAGTTCAGTTTTAGAAAGTACTGGCACATGATAGATGCTATGTGTTTGTTAAGTAAATGACTAAATGAAAAAATTGATTTGCCAGAGGTGTCAGTACAGTGCAGTAGGGAAAGAATGAGCTATTCAGTGAATGGTACTGGGATTGATTGGTTATTGGTAAGGAAAAACGGTTGACCCCAAATGGCCAGGAAACACACAAATATAAGTCGGTGTACTTGTCAGGTAGCCCTGTAACAGCTGTATTCTGTATCCCTCCTACAACTCAGTAATTCCCCTCCTCAGTGTGTGCCCTGGGGAATTGTTGATTGCATGCTTCAAGGACAGAGCTACTACTCAGTGTGCAGGCCTGGGGTGAGATACGGAGCTTGCGCCAGAACATAAATCAATATAATGCTGTCCTCATTGAGAAAGTCCTACAACGATTTTTTAAAAAGTTAATTAAAACCTTGTGTTTAGTGGAATCAGTATGTATTTTGGCTCAAGCCCCTTGTCTCACTGAGACCCGGTTAACAGACAGCGCTTGGATTAGCACTGTGTCTGTCGACAGCACTTAGGACAACACTGCAGTAAGAGACCCATATAAGAACGGTCATAGCGTCATGTCCGTCAGTAAGAGAATGGGTACATAAATTGCAGCTTGCTTCTGTAATGGAGTAAATGTACACAGTGAAAATGTAAAAACCTGAGCCTTACTTATTAACAACTGCAAATCTCAAACAAATTGATTTTTTAAAGTAGTTAGAAGAAACATCTTTATGGTTGCATTTATATAAAAATAAAAACATGGAAACAGTACTATTAGTGTGTTGTTTTGAAATATGCACATACAGAGAGTAAGAAAATGCATAAGAATGAAAAGCACCAAATTCAGGGTAATGATTTCCTGCTGGTGTTAGGAGAAGCAAATATGATATTTAAATAATGTGGGTCAATAGTAATTTATGTGAGGAGAACCTGGGGTTTTAAGTAATTACTCTCTCAAGGTGAGGCAAAATTACACAGTTGTAAAATAAGAAGTACACATTTTAGATCCTACAGGTGCCATTCCGCTGCCTCGCGAACTGTTAGGCTAGCAGGAGCGCAGGGTTCTGCTCTCAGCATTCAGGAGGTGCTCTGATAGACCAGGGAGCCTGGGGGACCAAGGGAGCGGGACGGAGAGCAGGCTGAGAACAGTGCCGCGGCCCAGTCGGGCATGTGTACGTAGACAGCAAAAGCCTTAACAGCAACAGGAGTTGTTCTAGATATTTGAAAGAATACCGTGTAGCTGGGATACTTTGCTTTTTTTTCTTTTAATTTCTTACATCATTTTTACCTACCATACCATACTGCTAGGACACCAGACTGGTAATTATTAATTTTGCCCTTCAGCATGTTAGCCATCCTGTTTGATGGCATGTGCAAACTTGACGTGTGTCAACAATGAGAATCTCAAACAGTTTGAATCCTGCTTGGGCAACTTCTAGCTGTTGGGCAAGGTACCGTTTTCAAGGCCTTGCGTTTGTCATTTGCCACAGTAAAATGGAGCTTTCTGCAGTGGGGGAAGTGTTCTGTGTCTACTGGCCAGAACTTGAAATGTGGCCAATGTGACTGAGGAAATGCATTGTTCTTTCATTTGACCTTAATGAATTTTGATTTAAACCTTCACAATAATCCACACTGAACAGTGCAGATCTACACGAGGATAATTATGTGCACCCTAATATTTAACTTCCAGTAAAATCATAATGTACTTCATAAATGCAAATAGATGATGATTTACTTAATTTGTGTATGTGTCTGTATTGCAGGATGGAATAGAATTAAAATAAGAGTTTAATACATACAAATGTGGTCTTTTAAAATGTGATGCAGTATTGTCAAGAATTAAAATTTAAAAGCCGTTTTTTATTACATTGATAGGTGATGTAAACAAGCTGATAATTGCATAAATAAATATTTTGAAGAGAGATACAGCTTTCCAGATTTGTCGTTTAATTTCGAATATTGGTAAAATGGTAGTTCTTTAGATTCTCTTTTTATGATTGTCGTTAAAACATTAAAGTACTTCATAGCATAATTTTGCAAAGATTATTTCCTTAACTGCTTAGAATAATCAAAATGTCATAAGCACATCATTATCTTTTACTTCTATGTGTATGTCAAATATCACTTAAAATAATTTTTCTTTTGCAAAGATATGTTAAAATCAAGAAGTAAGTATTTTTATTATGGCTGTCATGATAGAAATAATTAAACATAAATGTTTCACTTTTCTGGTTTTTTTCTTTTCTAGCTGCATAGATGAATGGTTTGAAGTAAATAGGTCTTGCCCTGAGCACCCTTCAGATTAAGCATCAGTTTCCTGTTTTATAGGTAATTCTCCTTTTTCCTGTTTAAATTGTTATCTGAATTATACATTCTCAGTCACCGTTTTCTTTCATTCATTCCTTCCTTCATTCCTTCCTGTGTGTGTGTGTGTGTGTGTGTGTGTGTGTGTGTGTGTGTGTGTTTGTTTCAGACATTGAGTTAGGCTACTGTCTAGAAAACTCATGTTAAAAGATATATAAAAAAACAACTTTCTTCATTAGTTTCTACATTCTTGTTTCTTTAATATACATTGGCATATTTAATTTTTTGTTTAATACTTCCTAAAAAAATATGGAGTACATAATCATGACACCACTTTACCAGTGAGAAACCTGAGGGTCAGAGTAGTTAAATTCCATGACTTTAAGGAGCAAGTTGCACCAACAACCCAAGGTCATGCAGCAAACAAATAAAATCAAATTCCTTACTCTTATCCATAACTTCCCAGGTATATTCTTAAGTAATGCAATATAATATAATTCTGATCATAGTAGTATTTATATTGCATATGCCAGCCATTGTTCATTTTGCAAATGCAAAAGCTATTTGCATTTATTAATCATCTTATTAATTACTCATCTAATTGTTTTAACAACTCTTTGAACTCAGTACTCTTACTAGTCCCATTGTGCAGAGGAAGAAATTAAGGTATAGAGAGGTTAAGAAACTTAACTTGTCAGGGCCACATAGCTAGTTGCTTGGTAGAGCTGGAATTTGAACCCAGGCATCCTGGTTCCAAAGATTGACTTCTTAGCTATTTTGCTATTATTCAATAGGAGCATTTTCTTCAAAAAGTTGTATTATGTATTCAGTCATTCAATTTTATCTTACACCTTTGTATCCTCAGCATATAATATAGTACCTTCCTATATAGTAGGCAAAAAAAAAAAATTCAATTTTAAACCAAAAACAGAATTTGTTTTGCTCTCCTGATTTATTCATGGTTCTGCATTATCTGAAAGTGTTTAGTGAATTGAGTGATAACCTCACTTGATAATTCTTGACTAGTGCCTTTTTCCATTTTCCAGGAGATGAACTTACTAGCATTGTTTAGCTTTGAAAAAAATAATTAATTGCTATGTTATATATAGGAAACGCTTTTTATGAGATGACATACAGAAATGAAATAAACCATTCAGCTTTTATATCAAGGCAGAACATTTTAGCCATTCGTGAAATTGTTTCAGAAGGAGTTAGAGCTCCTATATTCAGAGACTCAAGACAGTGATAGGCAACAGTCTTTGCTGAATGGCTCAGACTGAGGGCAGGGAGCTAGAATAGATACTATCCTGAGGTCTAGTCCTGTGTTTCTTCCATTTTCTTTTATATTCTGGGTCTTGAGGTAATAAACACATTCAAGGAATTCTTTTGCTCTTTATGAGAACAATTTAGTAGAAGCAGATTAGAATATTGACAAAGGAGACTCGACGTATCGGCATACTCTGGAGACATTGCCGGTTTTGTTCCAGAGCACCATAGTAAAGCGAATATGACAGTAAAGTGGGTCGTGCAAATTATTTGGTTTCCCAGTGCATATACAAGTTAAATTTACACTGTGCTGTAGCCCGTTGTGTGCAGTAGCATATGTGTAAAAAATATAACATCATCCTTAATTTTTAATAAATAACTATCATCTGAGCCTTCAGCGAGGGCTTTTTGTAGGCAGAGGGTCTTGCTTGGATGTTGACGGCTGCTGACTGACCAGGGTGGTGGTTTTTGAAGGCTGGGGTGGCTGTGGCAATGTTTTAAAACAAGACAATAGTGAAGTTTGCGGCCTCAACTGACTCTTCCTTTTGTGAGTGATTTCTCTGCAGTATGCAGTGCTTTTTGATACCATTTTCCCCACAGTAGAACTTCTTTCAAGATTGGAGTCCTCTCAAACCCTGCTGCCACTTATCAGTTCAGCTTAGTCATAATCTAAATCCTTTTACATCATTTCAGTAATCCTCACAGCATCTTTCCCAGGAGTAGATTCCATCTCAAGAAACTACTTTTGGTGGGGGAAGAAATGATGAAAAATAAACTATTAAAAAAAAAACCACTTTCTCTGTTTATCCATGAGAAGCAATTCCCCATCTGTTAAAGAATTATTGTGAGATCACAGCAAGTCAGTCATATCTTCAGGCTCCACTTCTGTCGTATTTCTAGTTTTCTTGCCACTTCCACATCTGCAGTTACTTCCTCCACTGATGTCTTGAACCCCTCAAAATTATCCATGGGGGTTGGTATCAACTACTTCCAGACTCCTGTTGATGTTCATATTTTGCCGCCTTCCCATGAATCACTAGTGTTCTTAATAGCACCTATAATGGTGAATCCTTCCAGAAGGTTTTCAATTTGCTCAAATCCATCAGAGAAGTGACTATCAGGTACAGTCTTACAAAAATGTATTTCTTGAGTAAGACTTAAAAGTCAAAATCACTCCTTGATCCCTGGCCTGCAGAATGGATGCTGCATTAACAGGCATGAAAACAGCATTCATTTCATTGTAAACCTCCATCACAGCTCTTGTGGGACCAGGCCCATTGTCAGTGAGCAGTAATATTTCGAAAGGAATCGTTTTCCTGAACAGTAGGTCTCAACAGTGGCCTTAAAATATTCAGTAACCCATGTTGTAAACAGATGTGCTGTCATCCAGCCTTTGTTTTCCTATTTACGGAGCACAGGCAGAGTAGATATTAGCAGAATTCTTAAGGGCCCTAGGATTTTCAGGGTGGTAAATGAGCATTGGCTTCAACTTAAAGTCACCAGCTGCATTAGGTCCTCACAAGAGAGGCGGCCTGTCCTTTGCAGCTTTGAAGCCAGGCATTGACTTCCATCCAGCTGTGAAAGTCCTAGGTGACTTTTTAATGATGTCTTTGAGCCTGTTTCTTCTATAATGAAACACTGTTGTTGAATGTAGCCACCTTCATGAATCATCTCAGCTAGATCTTTGGGTAACTTGCTGCAGCTTCTACATCAGCACTTGCTACTTCACCTGGCACTTTGATGTTATGGTGATGGCTTCTTTCCTTAAACCTCGTAACCAACCTCTGCCACCTTCAGACTCCTCTTCTGCAGCTTCCTCCCCTCTCTCAGCCTTGAAGAGAATTGAAGAGAGGGCCTTGCTGTCAGATTTTGGCTTAGGGGAGTTTTGTGGCAGGTTTGATCTTCTCTCCAGACCAATAGAACTTTGCCCATATCAGTGATAAGGCTGTTTCACTTATCAGTCATGCATTAACAGCTGTCATTCATGCATTAACAGCAGTAGCACTTCTAATTTTCTTCAGAAACTTCCTTTGCATTCACAACTTTGCTAGCTTTTCAGCTTTGTCTCGGCTTTCAACCTGCCTTCCTCACTAAGCTTACTTATTTCTAGCTTTTGATTTAAAGTGAGAGATGTGTTGTGACTCTTTCACTGAAACACTTAGAGGCCATGTAGGGTTAGTAACTGGCCAAATTTCGATATGTTGTGTCTCGGGGAGTAGGGAGGCCAAAGGGGAGGGAGAGAGACAGGGGACGGGCAGTTGCTGGAGCAGCCAGAACACATACTGTATCTGTTGGGTTCATTGTCTTTTTTGGGTGTGGTTCCTGGTGCCCCAAAACAACTGCAATAGTAACATCAAAGATCACTGATCGCAGAAGACCGTAACAAATACAATAATGATGACAAGTTTAAAATACTGCAAGAATTACCAGAATTGAACAGAGACATGAAGTGAGCAAATGCTGTTGGAAAAATGGTGTTAATAGACTCTGCTTGACACAGGGTTACCACAAACCTTCAGTTTTTTAAAAAAACAGTATCTGAAGCTACCAAAGTGAAGCACAGTAAAGTGAGGTGTGTCTGTAACTTACAGCGGCTGTGGCCAGTGAAATAAGAAATGCCGTGTTAAATGAGGCACCTGTGAGGCATGTGAAGTCTGAAAGCCTTGGCAGCCTGTCGGGCACTGAGAGGCCATCGGCTTCTGAACCCTTGCCCGTGAGGAGAGTCAGATTGAACCTCGACTCAGGCATGAATTAGGATGAGACCGCTGTGTGAAGAAGTGTCCTGATGGGTGGTACTTTGTGTACATGTATACGTAGGTTTTTATTTCACTGTGAAAAGGTTTTTTGAAGAGGAGAATGCTTTGGTGTGCCTTCAATGTCTCCTTATGTCTGAGCCAATAAATTAAAACTGGCTAAAATTGTGTAAGCACTTTTAAGAGAATTATTGATACTAAGAACCAATGCTAATAAATGAAAATTTTTACCTTAGTATTTTACATGCCAGAGCAATATGTCAAAAGTTTTTACCTATAGGTAAAATCTGTCTTTTAGAGTCAGCACACTTTTTTGTGTGAGGTGGAACTTCATGGAATAAAACTTTATTTCATAGTCTAGTCAGCTGAATTTTTCCTTTCACGTCACAGTGAGCATGGATCTGCGGAACATGCATCTCATCTCATGCAGATCTGCTCTTAAATGGATTGCAGTGTCCTTGCCTTCTGTATCGGTGTCATCTTTTTCTTTATTTTGTATATAGGACCTGAGTCCAGTGGCAGCTGCCCTCAGAAGTATGAATCGGTGCAGTCAGTCTCTGTGGCTCTTGAAGTATCATTTTAAGAACGAATGTATAGACATGAGATATCTGGACTATTTTCATTTTTGCTTCTGTTCTGACTGCCCTTATTGTCATGTAAATTCCTCATCTCTTTTCCTATCCCAGATTAATAGTTTATGGGTTTAAAGAGGAGCCACTGTTTAAACTTTTTTTAAAAAAGACAACTTATAGCAGCAGATGCAGCGTTTCTGATAGCATTTCTCATAGCGTAAGAATTTAATAGCCCAAAATAGAGATACGTGAATAAAAGGTGTTGATTAGTTATGAAATTGTCTTACTCTTTTTAATTTGAGGTTTTTACTTATTTGGGGAGAGATTTAGTAAGTTGCCGGGGGGGGGTGTTTTCTGTACTCTGGTATAGTCTTTATTGTAGAGCAACTGGAGTGTTGATTTCTTCTGTTCTCTTTTAAGCTTTAATTGGTCCTTCTGTGTCCTCGATCTGTCCTTTTGCAGAACACTAATTTTATGAGTTTTTAGAATAATAGTAAGTGTATGAAAATCTACAGCGGCTAAAGCAAGGTTCATGGGAAAATGAATGTTGTGTTTTGATTTGTATTACTGTTGTGAACCACTGCTTGAACCAGAATGTATCTCCTTTTACACAGATTTTCTTCTCTTCTCAAGATGCTTGAAAAACCAAGAGGAGATGAGGATCTGTCTCTGGAAAAACAAACACAAAAAATGCAGGCGTACTCAGCCAGAAATCTGAGTTCTCTGCAACGCAGTCGGTGCAGAGACGGACAATCCCATTGGGGGGACCCTGCTGGAGAGCGGACATCTGCCACAGAGCTCGGTGCACCAAACATGAGAAAAGGACTCACAGGGATTTTGAAAATGCTGCACATCCCTTAATAGTCATCTACATAGGTAATACTGATCCACGTTTTGTATTCAGACGCCAAAGTTAACTGATTTACAAGTTGATTTACTTTTTTTATTAAGTTCTCTAGAGCTGCGCAACTAGTGTTTTGATTTGTTGTGTTTTTTAGTTTGGGGGTCTCTTTATTTTCCCCAACATGATGTTTCTGCATTCATCTATTCTTAAATTGAAGACCACATAATTTATTTCCTATAAATTAAAGTCTTAAATGTGAAACCAAGATATGTAATCAAGCAGTAAAACATTCTCTGAATGTAGACCATGATCTCAAGTCGTTCTATTATTTTTCCCCCAAAGGTGGAAAATAGACTTCTACATAGGAAAGTTAAAATACATTAACATTTTAAATTAATTAAAAGTTTAATATTATTGGAATGCGGTCCAAAGAGTAATCAGGTTACATAATTATATTTTAATTAATTAAATCTCAGATCGTCTCCTGAATTGCAGTTTATTAAGTATATTGTTTCTTCTTAAATAAAACTGCTGACAGCTAATCAGCAATGAATCGTCTTGCAGCTATGCAACTTAAAAAAAAAAACAAAAAACAACAAATTACCAGTTTTAAGTGCTGCCAGCTACAGTAACTTTGTTTTAACGGGTATTTTTGTTTGTTCTTTTCATGTAATTATTTTATTGTGCTTCGCATCTCCAGGCAGTTTCCCCACATTTGGGTAAAATGCTTTAGCAGGTTATAAGCTTGATAACTTGTGAAAAGGGTAAAATAAAATTTTCTTGAGTGGAACCTGGAATAATTTGAGGGACTTTTATATACTTTTAAAAATCAGAATTTAATTAGAATGTCAGATTTATAGCAATTTGCATCTTTAATTTTCCAGATTAATCTGGAGGTTAGCGTTTGATAAATGATTTTTAAAGCAAATATGAAGATTTTGTTAATTTATAATTTATTAATGTGTTATTACTGTAATTGAAGATGTTATAGAACTTTTAAATTCAGTTTTGTTTAGAAAGAAATGTATTAAGCAAAATTATGTGAATAAATATTCCCACAAAATACATCTGAATGGTTAAAACATACTGGAAGAGAGCTATTCGGGCTACAGTACTGAATGTCCTTTTTTTTTAAATATCAAAAATACCAGTAAGTAGATTCCTGTTTTCAACATGGGGAAAATGTTATCAGTGAGCATTTAAGGGGTGCACTTTACTTGGTATAAATGAAAGTTGCACATTCCCGTTTTCTTGTTTTAAGCCTTCTTCCATGTATTTAAAGTATTTGCTTTTCTATTTAATGCTGCTACTCTTTAGCCTCAAAATTTTTCTCTATTGCTTCTGTTTCATTTTTCTTTTTTAAGGGCATGTACAGGAGCAACTGCTGCTACCCAGAAACGATTGTGTATTTTAAACAATTAAAAGAGTTTTTCATTGCTCTCGGTGTGATTTAGACCAGATAACATTTCCCTCGAGTTATGCTGTGAAATGCCTTCTGTTACGCTGCAGCTGATGAAAGAAGCCCAGACCTCCGGTGTGACAGCTGACAGCACAGTTTCATAGGTGCTTTTTAACCAGTTTGGGAAAATATTTTTCCCTCAAGGAAAATATTCTTTTCTTAAATTTTTTCCGTTGACCATAACATCATTATAAATCCATTTTATTTCACATTTTCAATTTTGTAAGCTTACACACACACACACATGCACACCCCCCACCCCCCAAACCCCCCCCACACACCCACCCTCCACAGGAAAAACCTCTTACAATGTGAATAATTCACTTTTTTTCTACTACTTATATAATGTTATTTTGTCGTCTTCCATTCTTAAGGGAAAGATTTACTATAGTCGTGTAGTTCACTGTTAATACTCTTCTGGAAGTTGATTTTTCTGATGTGAATTACTCACTGACTTTTAAAAGGTATCAGCTTAAGTCCACTCCCCTTTTTCCCCTCTGCCGCCCCCTCCCCGTTCTGTCCCCTGGTCTCTGTTCGCCAAGGTCTGTGCTGAGCCACTGCAGTAGAAGCTCCTAGGGTTTAAAAGGAAGTTCAGTGTTTGTCGGTGTCAATTGTGACCGGATTATTATATTTGTCTCAAACAGTATTTACTTAAATTTGTTTATAGCCATTCCTTTTTCATTAAAATTTACAAGTTAGCATTTTTTACTTTAAATTCAGTCTCCATCAATGACTTCCTAAAAATAACAGGAATTTAAAAGATGTTTTTAAAACTCAGATGTTCGAGTTTTTTGCTCTAAGTTGTTATTCTGGAAAATGTTAAGTAACAGTCTACATAACATCACTTACAATGTATGTGGACACTGAATAGTGTCAGTGGGACATAAAATCATGTTAGATTCTTAAATGTGTAGCTGGAAGCACTGACAGCTGAATCCTATGGAGACAGTAAAGATTGAAGCCTAGGTCTTCAAGTTAGTTACAGCTTTCTAGACGCTTTGTAAATATTAATACTTATTTTCCGATAAGATCACATTTGCGAATATAGAAAGCACTGTGTTCTGAAATTTCGTTTCAGTGCCCCTCTTTTCTTCATAATGGATTTATTGCCAATTTTGACGCCGTCTTACTTTGATCTGCCTTTCCCCTCCCACCCCCTGCCCCCCAAGAATGTGTAAGAGATAGCAAAATTACTGTCTTACTTTTGGCTCTTTCTAGAGAAACAGACTAAGCACATTAATCTCTGTTTTTCAGATTTGGTTATAAATCAGATACAGATTGTGTTTTAAGAGCAGTGTTGATTGAAATATAAATAATGGTTTCTATAACTGATTTTTTTGTGTAGCTGAAAGAACATTTAAAAACTCATGTTGTTAACTGTTGCTTACTATATAAATTTCCTATTTATTTTATGTGTTAGACGGTTATTTCCGTTTTCACCCACTAAACATTAGTGGGATGTAGCTCAGAAATGCCTGAGTGGCACCCTCAGCACATCTGCAGTGTGTGTTTCAAAACAATTTCAGTTCACCTAAGTTAATGAAAATGGCAGATTCCTTTTCAAAACATATTTTAATTTCCGAAGTTGGGTATAGTGATGAGTACGAGCAGTCATTTAAATTAATATAACTATAACAAGATGTAGGGGTATTTCTTTAAATGAAAAAGATTGTAAATTCAGTATAAATATAACCTAATTTTTTTTTACTAACTTGGAGAATAGGAGACAGTTATCAAAGCATGAAACCTTCTTTTAAAACTCAAGAATAATTGAATTTGCCATCTGATTGATATTCACATTATGTGTTGATAATATCAAAGTCATCTTATTCTTTCACAGAGGAAGTTTCCACATAAATTCGGTTATTGGGAACTTTATAAAACTACATAAGAGATAAATGTTGCTTATTAAGGATGAGTACTGTTTGTTAATTGCAGGAAGTCTTCTCGTTCATTTGGGCCATTTTCTTGCAATTTGGTTTATCCTGAGGTGAGCTTAGTACATATTGACAATGGGCAGTTAAATATGAAGTGTCCCTTGTTCTTGTACAGATATTTTGTAAGTTAAAAAAATTCTGGCATCCCAGTATTTTGTCTTTGGCCTGTTCCCCTTTTTTTCTGAGTTATGTAACTTCTACTATTTTCTTTGCTGTGTTGTAGTAACAGTAATTATCTGTTTTACTGTCTACTTTTCATCTCCACTGGGATCTTTTCATCCTGAGACTAAATTGCCACTTGGTTTTCTTCAGAGGAAGTTACTACTTTGTATACTCCTGGTAGTGATTCTTATTCGGCAATAGCAGGTGAAACTTTCTTGATAATGACTTACCCAGATAATACTTTGAGTACCTACCATATTTTGTGAATGATGTACTTAAGGTAGGGAACTGAATGGTTTTTTTTTTTTTTCTGTTGTTTGGTTGGTTTTTTAATCACAGAATTCCTGTGTTGAATGGGAAATACTCTGTGGAAAGTAAAAGGCATTGAAGAAAACTGGATGTGTTAATATTTATGAAAATGCAGCAATACTATACTTAGGGGAGTTGGTATATTTCCAGATACTTAAGCCATCATTAGTTTTAGACCAGTAGCTAATAATAGATAGACTGTTGATTGCTTGTTTATAGAGAGGTGAAGAGCAGCATGGCATAAACTCACATCCAGGAAATAAATGAATTTTTTTAAAGTGGTATTGTATTATCTATTAACAACATTGTACTTCTTAGCCTTGCCCTGGACTGGAGGGCGCCTGTCCGGACCCCAAGTCTCAGAATGAGTGCGACTGAGTTCTTCGATTACTAGATTTGCATGCCTGCTTTTTGATTGGATATGCTGAGATTGATAGCTACTGATGATTCGTATTTGTAAACTTACATTTCTGCCGGTACCCCATTACCAGCGAACCTGGTGCCAGCATCTTGAAAAGGTTTCATTATTAGTCAATAGCATTTTGAGCACCTGAGTGCACACGATGCAGTTAGCAGGCTCTATAGGGAGATACAAAAGAGGTTTGGGAATTTTATGACACTGATCTTTATTATTACAGCAGTCCATTACATTTTATTTCTTTGCAATGACTATATGAGTTTCATTGTTTGAAAATCAAGGTAATAATAGACATTTACCTCTGTTGCTTTTGTTCATGGTCTTCACAACTCTTCTGTAATACCTCTTAATTTCCTCTATTAGAAAGTATTTTCCTGTTAAATAAGGTATCAAAAACATCAATCACAAGAAATATAGAAAATGCATTAGGAACTTGTATTAGTATGTTCTTAATTAAAATGGAGCGATTCGTTATTGATATTTTTAATAAATAAAGCTTCCAAATGATCTTGCCAAATTATCCTGTTATTTAGAAATAGAATATAAGAGAATGCTTTCAAGGAAATTTGTCATTCCTACCCTTATGTTTAGAAGTTGGCAGTACATTACAATAAAGCTGAGAATTATCTGTATGCTAAAATGTTACCATTGAATTAACTGATGTCACGGTTTTGCTATCTATTTTTGTATAATCATTATCACAAGATTGAATCCAAAAGTATTAGTTCAGATTTTGTAATAGCTTAAGAAACAGCTGTTTGTGGTGGTAATGGATAAAGCTCTTTCTTTATTCTCTTAACCATATGTAGAGATATACTTTGAAATTTCTAATGTAGAACCTATTTGTAAATTTTGTAATTGAGATATGACTGGAGAACCATGAAGTTTCGCAGAGAGATGGTCTGTCAGTGCATCATCATAACTTTTAAAATCTAGATTTTATTTAGTAACATTCCATTGTGGTTTAAAAAGTGGCCTTCTGAAGCACAGTTGTTCTGATGGGAGAAGTATTGAGCTTGTAGCATGGTGGTTAAGACCATGGGTTCTGTCTGCAGTCAGGCTACCTAATTTTGCCATTTCCGTGACATTGGACGAGGTACTTCACTGTGCCTCGCCTTGCCTATAAAAAAAGACAATATTACTGCCTACCTCAAGGTCATTGTGAGGAGTAAATGGGAAGGTAGGTGTATGTACCAGACATGTAGTAAGCACCTAATAATGTTAGTGGTTATTATAAACAATAAAAATATCTGTGTCCATCTATGAGTTAATAATTTTTGCTGTTCTCTCCCATCTGAGGTATAGAAGTAAGCCTTAGACCTGAACGGGTATGTTTAAGGCACCTAAGTGTAACGGGACATCGTGAGTTCTGATCTTCCCTCTTGCTAAAATCTAGAGATTTACTGTTTTGAAAGGCAATTATATATGAAGCACTACTTGGTTCTGTGGGCTGTTAGGGACCAAGAATATTGAAATCCAAGATAGGCTCTGGGAACTAGTCTTTAATGGGTGAAGCAAAGAAGTAAGCAAGCATATGATAAAGAATAATAAATGCTGCAACAGACATGCAGAGGGTGTGGTGGCGGTAGCCAGGAGGGCTGCCAAACTCAGACTAGGCAAGAGCACGATTGGACGAAGCAAGGAGCAAGGACGTAGGGAAAGCAAGGGGCGAAGAACTGAAAGATTCAGAGTAGAAGTAACTCACCTTGGTAGCCGTTTAGGTGTAAGAGATGAAAGGCAATACCAGGACAGCTCCCGGTTGTACATTTCACATCTCGTTGTACATTCACATCTCGAAGGGTTAGATCTTAAGGCCAGACTATCTACTTGGGGAAAGCAGATTATTCAACCTGAGATAACAAATACCAATTCTGATATGAGCGAATTGGGTCTTAAATGGGAGGCAGAGCCTGAAAGAAGACAGAAATACTGAGCAAGTTGTGAGAAAGTGTGCGCACGTGTGTGTGTGTGAGTGCGCGCGACCAGGTTCAGGAAG